CAACTTTAGTACGCGGAGTATCTGTGGAGCTGGAAGCTGAGAACTGGCGACTTTCTAGTACTACTTTAGTACGCGGAGCAATCTGTAGAGCTGGAAGCTGAGAACTGGCGACTTTCTAGTACAACTTTGGTACGCGGAGCAATCTGTAGAGCTGGAAGCTGAGAACTGGCGACTGTGTAGTACAACTTTAGTACGCGGAGCAATCCGTAGAGCTGGAAGCTGAGAACTGGCGACTTTCTAGTACAATTTTAGTACGCGGAGCAATCTGTAGAGCTGGAAGCTGAGAACTGGCGACTTTCTAGTACAACTTTAGTACACGGAGCAATCTGTAGAGCTGGAAGCTGAGAACTGGCGACTTTGTAGTACAACTTTAGCATCTGGGGAGCTGGAAGATGAGAACTGATTGGCGACTTTCTAGTACAACTTTAGCACGCGGAACAACCTGTGGAGCTGGAAGCTGAGAACTGGCCACTTTGTAGTACAACTTTAGTACGCGGAGTATCTGTGGAGCTGGAAGCTGAGAACTGGCCACTTTGTAGTACAACTCTAGTACGCGGAGCAAGCCGTGGAGCTGGAAGCTGAGAACTGGCGACTTTGTAGTACTACTTTAGTACGCGGCTGAGTCATCTCTATTCTGTATTTTGTAAAAATGCATGAACGACGGTTTTTCCTGCGAGACAGTTGACGGGGGTTGCTTCGCTTTCGCTACATTGGTCGGTTCCAACTTGTTTTGTCAAAGAACATCGCAGCTCGGCGAATCAGCCTGCCGCATGCCCATTTCCTATAGGTTTATTCTTTTGGAAACTTCCGCCGCCGGCTTGCCCGGGAACTACTTGTATACCAACTGATTAAAGTAGACTCTTGATTCAAGGAACCCCTCAGTGAAGAGGTTTTGCAATCCATGTTTGGAAGTTTTTCTTCAAGAGTACATTGCCATGGCAGGAAGAAAGAACTTCCTGGATCGAAGAACTTAAGACCGTGTCATAAGACCCTCTCCAAGAGAGAAGACACCACGAATTGACACCACGACCACTCTCCAGACTTCCAGGGCCAGTTAACGCTTAATTAGAAAGGCAAGCTGTTCTTGAATACCGAAATGGCACGACAACAGGCACAACATGGCACAACCATCAAACCACCGAATGATATGGATGAGTTCTATACAGGGGAAACATGTTCAACACAAATCGATTATAAATAGTTTGCTTATCCTGGTTGAGTTAGGTATGAATTCCAGAGCCTACATGCATGTTGGCATATGTTGACAAACTTCTTGCGATGTTTGTTTCCGTCGCAGTCGGTGCATCGAGCGCTTGGCACCTGGCACCGACCGCAGGTTAGGCAGCGCAAAAGGGACGGCTGACCGTCATGGAGTACCATGTGGGGTGCCTCAAAAAGGGGGTGCTGGAAGATTGAAAGGTTGACTGAGTCAAAAACAGATAGATATAGTTCCTCATGTTATATTTTGTTGGTTTCTAGACCTGAGGTGGTGGTAGATAGGGATCGTTGGAGGGCCTGATTCACCTTTTTTCTTGGCACTCCGGATGTCGCTCGTTCAGCATCCGAACGGAGAAGGACGTCTTCCGCACCTGCACCCGTTGACAAGCTGGCCCATAGGCACCCCAGAGGCCATTCCATTCTGAATGAGACAGGTCACCAGGAACAGACCGTGGAGTGGATGGAGAGTAGCAGGACCCACATGAGGTGGTGAAGAGTACCATGTCGTAGATGGCACAGATCCCAAGTTTGGTGCTTGAACAATGGACCCATAAAAAAGACATGTAGGGGTGCCAGTGCCATCAAACCTCTGAAACTGCCAGTTGGCGTAATTTGCTACTTCGCACAGGAAGAAGAGCTGCCGGGTAACTCCTCCTGAGGCTTTTCGAGGAGGAAGCAGCATGAAGCAGCTGAGTCAAACGATCCCATACCATCCCATACGAACCTATTTTCCGGTATAACAGAAGCAAAGGGACGAGTATCTCCGTACATCGTATCTGTTGAAATTCTGGTGAACTGGTCGATGTTTTACGATGTTGGGATCTCCTCCTGCACTGAGGGGGACAGGGTCACCAGAGTGAAGCAACAGCTGCGGGAAGAACGGGCTCCAGGCTGCAGGATAAGTCAAAGACTGCCACCGTTCAGGTCGCCCATGAACTCCAATGAAGATGTTCAAAGGGTTTTTGTTGTGGGTCAAACAAACGGTCATTCATGTTTGGTTCAGAAAACGGAACTTTCAACCTTTGCACCTCGTGCATTTCTGGCTCCAGGCTGCAGGTCTGGGTCGTCCTCGTTGCTCGTTGACACCGCTCCGTTGCGAGTCGCATCCCATCTCGCCAGGTCACCGAGATGTGGTGTCCCAGCGCCGAGCCCAGCGGGGACCGGGCGGCTTCGCCGGACACGCGGGCGGGGCACGCGTGGTGCAGACGGCCGCAGACGGGCCGCAGACGGGATCCTTGTTGGACGCGGCGGAGCGGTTTTGGATCTGCCTTGTTTTTGAAGCAAGGATTCTGATTTGATGGCGAGGTGGATTGTTTTTATATGAGGGGCGAAGCTCTGGCCCAATGGGTCTTTTATTGTATTTTTGACCTTTGCAGTTGAGTAGCTGACTGACACTCAAGTTCTGACACTGGGTCCTGGCTGGGAGGTCTCCCTCTTCTAATGCACAGCCAGATTGGTTTGGGGCTCTAAGACAGCAATTGGAACCTTAATGTGGGATTTGCCAAGTTGTGGAGAGTCTTGTTTTCCACAGTGAAGAAGCCAATGAGAGAACCTGGAAGAAATCATCCAAAGCAAGAAGCTACGAGCAACACCAACACCACATGTCAGTCGACTCCAACAACTTGAGGATGGTCAAAACCTGGGCCCCGGTTAATGACAGAACATGAGGACCATGGACGGAAAAGACTCCTCCGAGACTTGGCTGGGTCAAACCACTGGTCAAAGAGCTATAGGGAGGGTGGGGACATGCCTTCTATAGCGTAGAGGTGCTCTAGGATCGCCCATTCACGGCGATCGCCCATTCTCGTTGATTTTTGCGGAAAAGCACGGAGGGTACTGTAAGGTCCTGAGTATCGGGTTCTTTGGAGCATATATCCCAAATTCCCAGACCCCTGAACACTCAACCTTGACTGGGATGTAAAGGTAACGGATGTTCTTGAGGTCTAAATTATATAAGGTTCCATGGTTTTGCAGTTGAAACAGTTTACCATTTGGGTAGAGAACATTGCATTTGTTCTGCACCAGCTTGCCAATATCATCATTGGTCCAGGTCGTTTCCTCAAATACAGGGCGTTCCAAAGGATTGCGCAAACCGATGCATGCCGATGAGTCAAAACCTGCAATACCCAGGTTTTCCCAACCTAGGAGAATGACTAGGATAGACTACGACTCGGGGGTCAACCCAGCAGGATGTTCAACGGGCAACCCGGATGCGTTTTGACCCACCATATGTTGCACTACCCAAAACGGGCGTCCCGTAAGGTGCTATGGCACGTTCAATGTTATAAGTTACAAACCTATATGTGAAACACATGGCTGTAATTCGTGTGTGTCCCAGGAAGCCTGTAACAGTCGATGAAAGATTATCTTTACTTTTTGAGACGTCGGCGGCCTGCAACCTAACCATCATCTATTGCGCCCAGGGAATGGTATAGCACCCAAGCTGTAATGTAGAATGTGAATCAACATGAAATATATACATGTGTTACATGCTGCAGAAGTCTTTGATAGGACTTTGAGTGCCAGATTCAGTATACAGATCGGTTGCTCAAGAAACTTGACCTGAGTATTCGCATACTTTTTGACCACATGGGACTGGGAATAGGACTGGAACGAATGGAACACCACGGAACGAATGGAGCTATCGGGTGGCAGGAAACCGTACTTGGCATTGCTCCGCAGCTCGCTACTCCAGCAACCCCCAAGAAACCGTCTTGTCTCGGTCACCGTTTCCGCGACTTGACTCCTGTAGCCGCTTGGCCAGAGACAAGGGGCACTATGCACTATGCACGGCCGGTGAGCGGTTTTGGGAAGAAGGCCTGTTAGCTGAAAGAAGGTATTCCCCGTTGTTCAGACATGGGGTACCAGGTGGGTTTTCCTCATTGTTTGCAACTGGATCCTTGTATTGAAACCAATCCACATTAAAAGCAGGTCACTGTCACTGTCACTGTGTACATTTGTTTCCTCAAGTGACTCTAGTGGGTTTGGTGAGTGGTCTGCAGCGTTTTTGAGTTAAGCAGTTCAAAAAGACATCAAAAAGACCGACCCTGGGCGTAGCAAGAAGCGCCACGTCTATGGTGTGTAGATCCCAGACACTCCATGTATGCCATATATGAGGATCAATTGACCCCTCAAACCACCCCAACTGATCGGCAGTCCTATGGCAGTCCCATGGAGTGTCTGGGGATGTTAAAAAAGGGAACCCCCCCCAACATCTGGCCCCAATGAATTTATTTAACGGTTGTTTCTTCTTCTCAGGGGTTCGGTGTCCTAGACAAACGCGGTCGCGGCCAATTTTTGCGCCCGTGTAGCCGTTGGTTACAAGAGTTGTTTTTTTTCCAAAGAATGTAGCTGCATGATTCACAATGGTTCTGTATCATCAAAGACATGGACATGAATCTATTTTTCTCCTCTGGTGACATGGACATCACACATGATAGATCCATGTAATGTTAGCATGTCGTGTAGCCATTTTCAAGAACCTCTTCTCCATCTCATTTGGTGTTCTTCAAGATGTCTTCCTGTTTCATAGTTTCCCTCCTGGACGCTGCTTTGACGCACCTGTTCATCATCAATCGTGGGAGTGATCCGAGGCTCATTGCAGCCTGCGCGTCTTTGTGCCTGAGCTGTTGGATGCTGTTGGACGCAGTATTATGGTAGCAGTGGTTCTGTTAGGGGAACACTGTTCTGTAGCAAGCAAAAATGAAGATCTAGCATCATGTTCGCAGAAGTTTCAGGTCATGTGTTGGTTTTGGTAGAGGGTTTGGATTGTAATTGATTTGTGAGGCTTGTCTCAGACCCCGGGGACCACCTTCAAGAGACAGCAACGATGAACATACGGTGGGCAACCAAACGAGGCCACGTATGCAGCGTCACAAATTGCCTCTCAAGGGCTTTTGCCAAACAGCCTTGAGCTATGTCCAAAAGATCTGAGTTGTCAGTGCGTGAGTATGACCACAGCATGGGTGGTAGGAGGGTGAGTAACGTGGGTTTTCCGTGTGATTGTTCTGTGATTCTCTTTGGAGATCAATTTCTTTGTTTGTTCTTCCTGAATGCGTAGCGAAGGGTTGTTGTTTAACTTTGCGAGTGACAGGGACATCGAGCGTTGTTGGTGGGATGTTGCTTTCATGTCCGCAAAACATCGCGTGTTTGTGGTTGTGTGTTTGTGGCTGTGTTTGTTGTTATGTTTGTGGTTGTTTGTGGTTATGTGTTTGTAATTGTGTGTTTGTGGTTGTGCTGTGGTTAAGGTCCGCCAGGGAACACGGGGCGCGACTTTCCAAACCAATGCCATTTGGGTTTCAAGCTGCCTGTGCCATATAGCCATGTCAGCTGCAGACGAAGGATGGGTCACAGTAAGCCGGGAAGACTAAAGCAGCCACTGGAACCTCCGGGCCAAACAGTGGCTACTGCCCAGGCCAGCTTCCACCAACACAGAGCCAGCGCAGGATCTAGCAACTGCCACTGGCGCCGAACAACCAGCGCAGGATTGCAGAAGCCGATTTGACGTTGGCTGGAGTGCATTTGGCCTGAAGATTCCAACTGGGGACGTATGCTCCTAGGTTGCGAGAGAAGGCCATTGTGACTGCTCGACCTTGATGTGAACATCATACCTGCGACTGGCGAGGCAGCAAAGCCCAAGCCATTCTTGCGCTGCTCCATTTGCGGCTTCGTCGTCCGTGGTGTGGATGGTCGTGGTTGAGGTTCGGCAGGGAACACTGGGCGTGGATGGTCGTGGTTGAGGCCCGGCAGGGAACACTAGGTGTGGATGGTCGTGGTTGAGGTCCGGCAGTGCATGAACACGGAGCGTGGATGGTCGTGGTTGAGGTCCGGGAGGGAACACTGGGCGTGGATGGTCGTGGTTGAGGCCTGGCAGGGAACACTGGGTGTGGATGGTCGTGGTTGAGGTAGGAGGAGGAGGAGGGGGAGAAGGAGGAGGAGGAGGAGATGAGGCTGACATAAAATCTCACAACCCTTATCTGACAGGTGGGGAACAATGATTGTAAACGGCAACAGTAACATAACAACAGGGAAGTAAACTTGGATATTTTTCCTAGGGTGAGTTTACTGGTTACTCCCACCCACTAACTATTTTCAGGGTGTGGCAGTTCTGACGGCTGTTCGACGTGCAAAGAAAGGGTTGGTTCTGTTGGTTCTAGGGAAAGGCACGTTTCTCCGTGATACAGGCAAATCCGTTCTAGTCAATTGTGCAGAAGCTGTTGTGAGGAATTGGAAGTGGGCTTGAATCGATTCAGTGATAGGGTCACATGCAAAAACAGCCGAGTAAGTGGCAAAACGACCCCCCCAACACAGCCACCTGTAGTTTTTCCCCGCGCGTGCCGTAGGTTGTTCTGTTTTGCAATTCTGACCAGGGACCCCGGACTCGCTGGACCGCCCGATGCATCGGGAAAGTGACGCTGCGAGGCGCTACTCACAAAAAACATCTGCAGCTTCACTCTGCAGCCACTCAGCTGAGAATCTCAATGTGAAAGTTCGGGGTATTGAAATGAGGGTTTTTGAAGTAATGAAATTGTTGACTATTGGAACAATTTAGATTGTAACATCTCGTCGTATGTTTGGGGCACCTTCGAACAAAAACTTTGGAATTGACAACAATTTGATCCCAAAAGACATCAGAGATGTTTGGTGTAGGTTTTGCTAGATGTTTGTTGAATGTAATTATTGGCACCAAATAGTCAAGACAATGAACTAAGAATCAGGACGCCTCCGGCAGGGTGGAAATGGGGTAGGCACGATCCCCCCCCCGCCTCCGTTGAGTTTTGGAATGGGTTTTTTTAGTGCGTTCGAATACCATTGCCCCGCGGCCCAGCATCTCGCACCCTTCAAAAAGGGCGAAGATGGTGACTACTAGGAGGAGACTCTGGGAACGACTGCTGGTACTTCGGAGGATTCGCAGCGACCAGGAACGATATCATCGTTCCGCCGGGTCGGTCGGTACCGAGCTGAGAGGCCACCGAGTGGGCTGGATGTAACACACCTGGCTGTATGTGACCGGCGAACAAATCATCTGACGCGTCATGATTTTAGGATATTTGATATTTTAGTTGATGTTTAGTAGGTTTTTTTTTCCGTAAGGTTTGCCGTAAGGATGTGCAGCCTTGAACAGGCTGAAAGGTTCCCAGAAGTGGAACTTGTTTACTTTTACTTTCATGACAGCTGGGCCCAAACATATTGAACAGCGCACCCTTGTAACCACAGTGGACTTGCATACTTCTGCCGTAAGCGCAGCGCAAAAAAAACCTTGCATACATCTGCACAAATTATAGCGAGGACAAACGAGGCAACGAGGTGGCTTAGGGAGAATTAACGAGGACAATCTTAATTTCGTTCCATGAATTAAGAAACTGACGAGGTAGCCTCGGATGGTTCCGGTTCAAGTTG